TCTGGAAAATAAATAAAATGTAAGGCATCAAACTCTCCAAGAGAGTATTGCATCTAGAGTTCATGTTATCATAGTACCTTCCTTCTAAAGAAGTGTAGCTGGTAAATAATCAGATGTAACTGTCCACACTCATGATTGACCTTGCCTGGAGTATGCCGTCAGTCAACATTAAGGTGTCCATTACAATGAAGGAGGTAAATTTAAAGAGTCACTGTATTTTTTTGCCTTCCAAGATCATTTTAGGTGTCCTTAATGTACTGTAAAATCTTTCTCTTTTTCTGAACAAAGGCTGAGCCTTGAATGACCATCAGTTGTTAAAAACACCAGTGCTAAACTGGGCACATTGGCTCATGCCTATAATCCCAGCTACTCGGGAGGCTGAGGTGGGAGGATTGCTTGAGCCCAGGAGGTTGAGGCTGCTGTGAGCTATGATGGTGCCACTGCACTCCAGCCTGTGTGACAGAGCAAGACCCTGTCTCAACAAAAAACAAAAAACAACGAAAAGCTGGCTCCTCATCCGGATACAGGATTCTATCTTCCCGTTGTGTACTAATGAAATAACTGTTCATTATTGTGGGTTCTACTTGCAGGGTTCAGACTAGGCAATGTGGTACATGCTATACAGGCAACTGAGCAGAGCATTCATGCCACTGACCTGGTACCTCGCTTATGCTTAACATTAGCCAACCTGAACCGTGTGATTTATTTCATCTGTGACACCATCCTCTGGGTGAGGAGCGTAGGTCTCACCTCTGGCATCAACAAAGAGAAATGGCGAACGAGGGCTGCCCACCACTACTGCTTTTCTCTTCTGCTGAGCCTGGTCAGGGATCTGTATGAAATCTCCCTGCAGATGAAACGAGTTACACGTGACAGGGCAAAGAAAGAGAAATCAGCATCCCAGGATTCTCTTGGGTACAGTGTGGCTGATGAGGAAACAGAATGGCTCCAATCCTTTCTACTTCTCTTATTCCGATCTCTGAAGCAGCATCCTCCCTTGCTTCTGGACACGGTGAAGAACCTTTGTGATATCCTGAACCCTTTGGACCAGCTGGGGATCTATAAGTCCAATCCTGGCATCATTGGACTTGGAGGTCTTGTGTCCTCTATAGCAGGCATGATCACTGTGGCATATCCTCAGATGAAGTTGAAGACCCGTTAGGGTGTTTTTAGGCTTGGAACTAGTACCTACTTTAAAAGATGGCCTCTTAGTGGAATAGAAATTTGTGTAAGTCAAGGCCATGTCATACTGTGCTTAAGTTCTTGTTCATGTGAGCATTTAACAACCTATGATGTGGGCAGAGATGAGGCCAAGAATGGAGAAGGGAGGAACATGAAGACTTGTATGTTTTTGGAGTGCTGGAGTGACTTGTGAATTTCTGAATATTTTCCCTTCATCTAACATTGATTGAACATCTCTTATGTGCATAGTGGGAGCTTAGTATTTGCTGAATGAATAAAAATTGAAAGGAAAAAATTTAAAAAAGACCCAATCACACTGATCATTTAACACTAATATACAATAACTTTAGGGTTATATGGATCATTGGTTTCACATAATTACAGTAGGTCTGGTGCATGACACTCTCAGATCTAGTAGAGGCTCTGATGTCAGTAGCAGGGTGGAGGAGAGCTGGGCTGACAGCCTCTCAACTTGTTGGCCCTTATACCATCACTATACTCATGTCCTTGCTCTGTCCAGAAGTAGAATCAGAAAAGCATCAGGCACCTTCATGGTATAAATTGTGTCTATGGGTGCAGTGAATAAGCAAAAATCAGAAGCAGACAGGAGGGACTTATAAAAATAGGCAGAGGGTCACAATGAGTGCCTATATGTAGCCTGTGACAGATAAGAAGCTGAGAGACAAAAAACAACTAAGGCTAGAGCCTCATTCCTCTGACTCCTAATCCAGTGTTTGTTCCATGCTCTCCCACTTTCTTCAGAATTGAGTAGAAATGTGATCCCCTCCTGAATCCTGTCTTTTGCCTCTTACTCTCCCATAATTTGGACCTTCCTTGTCCAGTGGTTTATATTCTTTTCTAGAAAAACTAAAACTGGGTGGAGTGTGGTGGCTCACACCTATAATCCCAGCACTTTGGGAGGCTGAAGCAGAAGGATTGCTTGAGGCCAGGAGTTCAAGACCAGCCTGGGCAATGTAGTGAGACCCCCATCTCTACAACAAAGTGTTAAAAAATTAGCCAGGCATGGTGGCATATGCCTGTAGTCCCAGTTACTCTGGAGGCTGAAGCAGGAGGATCACTTGAGTCCAGGAGTTCAAGGCTGCAGTGAGCTTCCACCGCACTCCAGCCTGGGTGATAGAGCAAGACCTTGAGTCTTAAAAAAAAAATTATAACAGTATTTAGACTCATCAGCTAGATTGTTTTATTTAAATCCTTCTAACAATTTAGGCAATACTACATTAATTTTCATCAAAATTTATCTAGTCAAAAAAATTTCATGATACTCCAGATGTAACAGGGTCACAATTTTCTATGATAAACAGACATCTTATTTGCAGGGTGATTGAGGGAGGTGGAAAGCACAGGAGGAAGCCAGTGAAGAGGACACTGGAATGCTGAGTCAATGACATTGACTTGTGTTCCTATCTCCCATCTTGGGTGTGGGTCTTTATATGTGGTTACAGATCTTTTAGTTTGAGGGAGGTGAGGTAGGGAAATAGGATGCCAGCAGGTAGGAGGCTGATGTCAGCCCTCCCAGCAAAGCCGTGTCATTTATCTGAATGGAAATGAGAAAATAAATATGTACTCAATAAGTTATATTTCCCAGAAATGTGATTGAGATTCTCAAAAAATAGACTCAGATTCTTGGCTGTCTGTTTAACCAATCAAGATATGGAATTTGAGAAATAAAATTTTGGAAATTTTAAGAGACATGAAAGCTACTAGGTCAGGGCAAATTAAAAGCTTAAATAGCTATTTTTATTGTCCAGATCCTCTACTGTAATAGATTAATTATGTTCAATAAATTTCTAGACAAAATTGACTTGTGTCTGTGAGTATGTTCTGGGAATAGAGAAGAGTTAAATGTAAGGCAATCCAGCAGATAATCCTCAATCAGCCTACACAGTTGGTACAGCGAACTCTGGGCTGGAAGATCCAGACTGAGGAGGAGGATGGAGAAAGATTGAGATGTAGAGCCTCTGGGTTAAAAGGGACCTCTGAATGAGCTCATCTAGACTGCTGCCATGGAGAGGGTGCTCTACAGTAGCCCTGTCAATGGCTGGCTGGCTTCTGCCTAGATAAGTCTGCGTTGAATTCATGGTGGTATGTTACAGTGGTATCCATCTTAATGGTGTCCTGGTACCTCCCTGTGAATCCTTCTTTCTAACTAATGTTTTCCACCCCAGAGCCTCCACATTCATGAGGGATGCCAAAAATTGAAGTTCTTCATAGATGTACAGCCCAGCACATTCACAACTGAGCATTGTTGCCTGATAATTCATTTATTCAACAATGAATGTTTGAGTGCCATGCATGGTTTTGGGGATCCACTTGTGAGCAAGATGACCTAGGTCCCTGCTCTCATGTGGTGGAGGGGTAGGGAAAGCAGGTAGGGACGGAGAAGGAAAGAAGATAGAACTCTATGCCCTGCAAGCTACTGCTAGAAAACTAACACTTCTGTCTTCCCTCGGGACTCTCCTAGGCCCTTTCACCACTTCTCACCTCTCACCCACATTCTGCACTCCCAGCTAAAGCAGCCAAAGGACTAGTTGATTTGGCAGAGCTTTCAGGCACAAAGCCCTATACTCCCTCTGGCCCAAAGCCACTACTCTGAAGGCTGAAAACTGCCCTTTGGCTCAGGTTGCTGTCCAGTCACAGCCTCACAGATGATTTGTGCTGAACCTTGAGGTGAGGGCAGAGGCCACTTCTTTAAATACTTTGTCCTCTCTACTGCCTTACATTTGAAAAGCCCAGGTTGGATCAATAAGTATTAAATGTATAGCATATTACTCCTTTGAAGCCTCCCCGCTTGACTCCTCCCTTTCCTGCCTTCTCATTCCCTACTTTATTGCATCACAGATATGTAATTTATTACCAAGGATCTTTCATAATTCCCCACTCCCATCTCTTTCTTCTCTTGCCCACAGTGTGTGACTTAGAAGAGTCAACAATACATGTAATTCCACCAGCAACAAAGAAAATACGTTTTGTTTTCCTATTGTCCATTTTCACAAAGAGGCCCTTCTTAGTTAATCTGAAAGCTATGGCTTACACCATAGTCCTCCATCATATCTGAAGCCAGGAACTAGAACTTGGGCTTGTGCTTGAGTCCTGGCTAAAGAAGGGTTGAGTGGTGCTAGTTCTTGGTTGTCTTGCTATTGATTAGTGATAGAATCTTAGTCAACACTGTCACTTATCCAGACTTAGGGGAACAAAAATCTACTTGGCTCTCCCACTTTTCATTCTGGTAGCATCTTAGGCCAGGTAAAGTTCAATAAATTTTTTTGAACTCTAAGAAGTGGAAATTCCTCCCTCAAAGGCTATATTGTCAAAAACAACTCCCGGCTCTGTTGCTTCTTCACTGAGGGCAATTTATCTCCATAATCAAAGACGAATACATTCAGATGAACTCTTCTGTGTGGGTTTAAATTTTACTGTTCAACATTCACTCTTGCTAGTAAATAAGAAAAGATGAGAGAAATGGATTGAGAACTATCCCACAAGACCCTCTACAGAAAAGGAGCCAAAAGATTGCAGAGGTATATAGAACTTTAGAGCTTTTGAGTTTAACGATGTGTATCCCTATACCTTCTTTCTGGAAAGCAGACTTTTGTGAATTGAGGGCAGGAACATTATAGAACTGATGCTTCATGGCTCTGGAATACTAAGTCCTCTGAGCCTGGATCTCCTTCAGCTCTGCCACCTACCTCCTTGTTTGCTAAATGTCCTTAGAGAAGTTAGGATATGCCCGGGGAACCCTGGGTCAGATAACCATGACAACTGCTGACCCTGCTTTCTTCCTCTCTGCCCTCCTCTAGCTGGGAGGCGTTAGTAGCATTGCCCAAGACTCCCAGGAGTGGTAGGAATTGTTTCTGCCTGAGGAGACGCTCTGCAGCCTGGGCTCTGTGAGACTGACGTGGCGGTCAGCTGGAGTGAGTGTTGGGGTCCTGGGGCACCTGCCTTACATGGCTTGTTTATGAACATTAAAGGGAAGAAGTTGAAGGTAAGGGCCTCTTGGGAATTTTGCTTGGGATGAAAAGCTCTGCAGGGAAACTACTGAGGGAGAGATTCTGGTATAGATACTCTATACCAGAAGTATAGAATAGCTATTCTGGGGCTACTGTCTTTTCCAGAACACAGATATGTTTGCTTAGAAATAGAAGAATTGGGTAGGAACAGTGGATCATGCCTTTAATCCCAGCACTGCAGGTGGCCGAGGCAGGTGGATCACTTGAGCCCAGGAGTTCAAGAACAACCTGGGCAACATAGTGGGATCCTGTCTCTACAAAAAAAGAAAAAAATTAGCCCTGCATAATGGTACATGCCTGTAGTCCCAGCTACTTGGGAGGCTGAGGTGGGACGGTACCTTGATCCCAGGAGATCAAGGCTACAGTGAGCCATGATTGTGTCACCACATTCCATCCTGGGCAACAGATTGAGACCCTGTCTCAAAAAAAAAAGATAGGGAGAGGGGGAGAGGGACAGACACAGAGAGAGAGAGAGAGAGAGAGAGAGAGAGAGAGAGAGAAATAGAGGAATTAACCCAGAGCCTTTTCAAAGATGAAACCTGAAACTTGCGTATTTATTTTTTTAGAGATGGGGGTCTCACTATATTGCCCAGGCTGATCTCAAACTCCTGGGCTCAAGCAATTCTCCCATGTTAGCCTTAGTAGCTAGGATTACAGGTGCTTGCCAATGCACCCAGCTTGAAACTTGTTGTTTTAGTTTCTTTTGGACCCTCATTAAAGAGCCTTAAGACTTTAGCTAAAACTTTTTATCTCTTATGGCTGCCTGCATTTTTTATTTCCTAACCTGAACTCTTTTTTTTTTTTGAAACGGAGTTTTGTTCTTGTCGCCCAGGCTGGAATACAGTGGCATGATCTCAGCTCACTGCAACCTCCGCCTCCCGGGCTCAAGTGATTCTCCTGCCTCAGCCTCCCAAGTAGCTGGATTACAGACACCCACCACCATGCCTGGCTAATTTTTGTATTTTTAGTAGAGACAAGAGTTTCACCATGTTGCCCAGGCTGGTCTCGAACTCCTGACCTCAGGTGATCTACCCGCCTTGGCCTCCCAAAGTGCTGGGATTACAGGCCTGAGCCACTGCGCCTGGCCTCCTAACCTGAACTCTTATAAAAAACATTATTCTTGGCTTGGCCAAGGTGGGCAGATCACTTGAGGTCAGGAGTTCGAGACCAGCCTGGCCAACATGATGAAACCCCATCTCTACTAAAAATACAAAAATTAGCCGGTATGGTGGCTCATGCCTGTAATCCCAGCACTTTGGGAGGCCGAGGTGGGCGGATCATGAGGTCAGGAGATCGAGACCATCCTGGGTAACACGGTGAAACCCCGTCTCTACTAAAAAAAAAAAAAAATTAGCCGGGCGTGGTGGCAGGCGCTTGTAGTCCCAGCTACTTGGGAGGCTGAGGCAGGAGAATGGTGTGAACCCGGGAAGCAGAGCTTGCAGTGAGCAGAGATCATGCCACTGCACTCCAGCCTGCGCAACAGTGTGAGACTCCATCTCAAAAGAAAAAAAACCCGTCTCTACTAAAAATACAAAAAATAAAAATAAAATAAAATTAGCTGGGCGTGGTGGTGGGCGCCTGTAATCCCAGCTACTGGGGAGGCTGAGGCAGGAGAATCCCTTGAACCCGGGAGGCAGAGATTGCAGTGAGCTGAGATTGTGCAACTACATTCCAGCCTGGGCGACAGAGCAAGGCTCCATTTCAAAAAAAGAAAGAAAGAAAGAAACATCAGTCTTGACAAGTAAGCTACGGAGCAACTCATTCCTGTGGGACCCTAAGGAGTGGGGCTATTGTGTGTGACATTCACCCTCCAACCTAATGCCTTCCGTTCAGGGCAAATGGACCCCCAGGCAGCCTGGGCCTAGTTGGTGGCCATGAGAAGTAGGGAAGTGACCCAGTGGAGCTCAAGCCTGAGGGCTTCTGATGGGACCTGGGACTCTGTTTTGCAGCTTGAAGAGCTAGGATGGCAGTCAACAAAGGCCCCACCTTGCTGGATGGAGACCTCCCTGTAAGTAACTTGGGCTCATCTGTGACAGGGGATGGACAACTGAGGGAGGAGGAAGAAGCAGGGAGGGAAGATGCAGGGGACTTAGAGCAAGATATGCCCAGATTATAATCCTAGTTCATTGACTACCATGGCTTAGTTATTCTTGCCCTCACCACCTTTTGTAGAGGGCAGTTGGAGGATCTGGGAGAGGAAAAAAGACGCTTATTAAAAACCAAGCACCTTGGAAAAAAGGGACAGAAATCCTGGCTTAGGGACAGTGGGGAGTGGAGAGGAAGGGAATGACTATGTTTAAACCCTGACGCAGAAGCCCATGCTCTGTCCGCCGCCCAGCTGCATGTGTATTCAGTGCAGAGCCACTGCATTCTTTGTCTCCAGCATCATTCATATGGCAAATGGCACCTCCCGGAGTCAGACGGTGCACAGCCTGTGCTGCTGTGTCAGGGGAAGGGTGGGATATTCCGTGTGTCTGGTGTTCTATCTCTGACCTGGTTTTCACTGTGATTTGAAGTGGTTTGATACTTTTAGGAATGCTTGATGGCTCCTGGCAAGGCATCTCAGATTTGCACACAGTTCAGATAGTGAAACTTAAAAATTGTGGACCTGTACAATATCCACCTTGCCCAAGTTAGGCTTATACTAACTCTTGCACTAGGAATCACTTTGTTTTGTATTGAATAATAGAAGAGAGAGGCGTAAAATGGTCAAGTACATAGTGAAGCCATTCTAACACACGGTGGTTTATTCCCTTCCCAGGATCTCTTTCCCCCTTTGGTTTTGTCTAAAACAACCTCTGAAGGCTCTGTCCAAACTGTTAAAAAGAATGTTTTCACTGGGCGCGGTGGCTCAAGCCTGTAATCCCAGCACTTTGGGAGGCCGAGGTGGGCGGATCACAAGGTCAGGAGATCGAGACCATCCTGGCCAACACGGTGAAACCTCGTCTCTACTAAAAATACAAAAAATTAGCTGGGCGTGGTGGCGGGCGCCTGTAGTCCCAGCTCGGGAGGCTGAGGCAGGAGAATGGCGTGAACCCAGGAGGTGGAGCTTGCAGTGAGCCGAAATCGCGCCACTGCACTCCAGCCTGGGAGACGGCGAGACTCCGTCTCAAAACAAAAACAAAAACAAAAAAACCCGAAGACATTGTGGGCTGCTCTGTCTTAGTGTACACATAGGTCTCATTGATGGGGATCTTTGAACTCTCCCTCCTACAAACAGAACAGGCCAGGTCTTCACTTCATGAGCAAAACCATGCCACAGTGTCATATTCAAAGTTACAGAGAGCCTGAGCATCTGAATCTGACCTGGGGAGTTTTTTCTTTTTACTTTAGATATGGAGAATTCTCAATATTCATAAGAACAGACAGAAAAGAACATAATAAGCCCCATGTACCCTTTGTTAGCCCTGAAGACCATGAATTCATGGCCAATCCTGCCTCATCCTCACTTCCATTAATTCCTTCACTTTGTGTTATTTTGAAGATAATCCTAGGCAGGCTATTTCCAACTCGAGTTGGAATCCTGGCTCTGCCACTTACCAGCTGTGGAATCTTGGGTAAATCACTTCCCATTTCTGATCGTCAGTCTCCTCATTGACTCAGTGTTGGTGACAGTGCTAACCCCAGAGGATGGCTGTTAGAATTAAGTGAGCTCATGTCACCAAGGCACCCAGACCAGTGCCTGCAGCATAATGGCACCTGACAAATGCTCTTTCCCTCTGCATGCCTAGAATTTGTTCTTTTAATTTTATTTATTTATTTTTTAGATATAGTGTCTTACTCTGTCACCCCAGCTGGAGTGCAGTGGCACCATCATAGTTCACTGCAGCCTCGGCCTTCTGGTCTCAGGCAGTCCTCCCACCTCAGCCTCCCCAGTAGCTGGGACTCTGTAGTCCACATGCCATCAAATATTAGCATGACTAGCTTTTTTTTTTTTTTTTTTTTTTTTTTTTTTTTTTTGTGGCTCAGAGTGTTCTCAAACTCCTGGCTTCAAATGATCATCCCGCCTCAGCCTCCCAAGGTGTTGGGATTACAGGCATGAGCTTCTACTGTTAGCCCTAGAATTCACTCTTTTACTCAAAGACCAGTGTTTTTTCACTAAGGTTCCTAGGTGACCTAAAGCTTAATTATGTGACTGCTGCCAAAGGTGCATTACTAACAGCATAGCACCCTGGAAATGATAAACGATTGTTCCACTACACTCAGCACGCACAGATCACACCCAGAGTGCTGTCTTTGAGTGTTTTCTGTTTGTTCGTTTTTTTTGTTTTTTGAGACAGGGTCTCATTCTGTCATCGAGGCTGTAGTGCAGTGGCATGATTATGGCTCACTATAGCCTCCATCTGCCAGGCTCATGTAATCTTCCCACCTCAGGTTCTCGAGTAGCTGAGACCACAGGCACACAGCACCATGTCTGCTAATTATTATTATCATTATTTTTTGTTGAGACGGGGTCTCCCTATGTTGCCCAGGCTGGCCTCAAACTCCTGGGCTCAAGCAAGGGTAGTATATTTTTAAGAAAGATAATGTAAAACTGTAGCATGTCCAGGAGAGGGGGTCACCAGACCACAGTGTGGACCATTTGTAAACGAAGTTAGGAACTGGAGCCATTTAACATGATGGAGGTACTTCCTAAGGGAGACATATTTGACTTCAAATATGTGAAGGGCCAACCCATGAATGATGAAATAGGTTTGCTCAGTTTTGTTCCAGAGGGCAGAGTGTGGAACAGGGGGATGGAGGCAAATTTTAGCTCAGCAAAGCTGTCCAACAAGGGACACAGGTCACTTTATGAGGGGGAGAGCTCTCATTCAGGCAGATATTTAAATATAAGTCTTGGCTGGGCACAAAGGCTCATGCCTATAATCTCAGTGATTTGGGAGGCTGAGGCAGAAGGATCACCTGAGGCCAGGAGTTCAAGACCAGCAAGACCTGCCCCCTCTACAAAATAAAAGTATTAGCAAGGCATGGTGTCACATGCCTGTAGTCCCAACTACTCAGGAGGCACAAATGTGAGGATTGTTTGAGCTCAGGAGTTGGAGGTTACAGTGAACTATGATGGCACTAATGCACTCCAGGTTGAGCAACAGAGTGAAACCCTGTCTCTAAGAAAATAATAAATAAATAAAAACAAATACAAGTCTACCAGAGAAACGATGGAAAGGATTCTTACCACAAAGTCCCCTGGGGGCCTAAGATTCTGTGATTCTGTGCAGTTGGGCAGATCTAAACCTACGCATTCTACTAGGCACAGCCCTGACTGTGGTTCAGGTATTCAGCTAACATTACTGTGCCATGCTTTAGGCTACACTCTGGGGATACAGAGATGACAGTCTGCGGGGAGTGAGATGAATACCCATAACCACAGCACTGTGTAATGAATGTGGAGACAGCCAGGGAGGGAGTGGTTTCCGATGCGATGGAGGAGAGTCTGGAAGCTTCACAGGGGAGGTGCTGGTCAAGTGGAGTCTTGAGGGAATGGCACTCTGCCAGGCAGCAAGGGCTGTGGGAGGGAAGGTGAGCGTTGTAGGCAGTGGGGCCAGGATACACAGGCGGGGAGGCAGTACCTCAGAAAGACCAGAAAAATGTTTGGAGAAGCCACCAATCAAAGGTGGATTAAAACTCTAGACATTAACAACACTTGCTCTCTACTAGTAGGTATCAGGGGAGTGAGTTGGGGTGGGGGTGGGGGTGATGGGATCTGACTTGGCCCCTGGAGAACAGAGATTGCCTTGGCAGCTCTCCAGAACCTGGATGGTGACCAGGAGGACATGGCCTTGTTTCCCCCATGGGCTCTCCCATGCTCTCATGATTGGGGCATCTGGAGACCTCTTTGGCCTTGGTTCCTCCCAGGTCACTTGGACTCAGGCTAGTTGCACCATTGGATTCCATGACCCTGAGGTCCCCTTCCTGGGAGGCTGGAGAGGGAGGTGGGACAACTTGAATGTGTTCCTTCCACACCAGGAGCAGGAGAATGTGCTACAGCGGGTCCTGCAGCTGCCGGTGGTGAGTGGCACCTGCGAATGCTTCCAGAAGACCTATACCAGCACTAAGGAAGCCCACCCCCTGGTGGCCTCTGTGTGCAATGCCTATGAGAAGGGCGTGCAGAGCGCCAGTAACTTGGCTGCCTGGAGCATGGAGCCGGTGGTGCGCAGGCTGTCCACCCAGTGTGAGTCCTCGCGGCACTCAGCAGCTGCCTGCTTGTTCACTGCCTACCTGCCAGTCTGTCTGTTTGCCTCTCAGTCTGTCTGACTGTCTGATAACTTGCTTGTCTGTCTGCTTAACTGCCCACATCCCATTGCATGGTCTTCTTATCTATGGATATAATGGTATACATACAGATCTCTTTTCATCTATAGATGCCTATCTGTGGCCCAGCTGGCCTTTGCCTAGGATAACAATGATGGCCAGAGAATCTGCAGGGGAAGGGAAGGCAGAGCTATGCAGGCAGTGGTGAGGTTGGGGCCCATGGCAGACCAGACACTCACTGTAGCAGCACAGGCAGCAGCAGCAAGAACCAGCAGTCTGGCAGAGGCAGAGGCAGCCACACTAGGGGGCCTGGCAGGGCTGGACGGCATGGAGGGAGGGGAAAGCTGGCTGAGCCCAGCAGCTGATGGTAGCGGCTCATGACGGGTGGGGGCGGCAGAGAGCCACTAGCCAGGGCCCTGGAGGCAGAAGACGGTTCTCTTATGGGCCTTACCAGGTGTGCACCACTCAAATTGTTCTGCCGCATCCGAAAATGTGGTCTCCAAGGCATAGTTCTTGACAGGGTTGAGGGAAATCGCAGTAATGCCAAAAAGTCTAGCACTTTCCACCATCCTAATTACAGAATTATGGGTAGCTGAGGACTCCACACAGCAAACAGGAGAGGACAGATGTAAAGTAGGCCCAGGCCCTGTGCCTGGCTGCAAGCTCCTTAAATAGTTGCCTTGAGTCTCATTCTGCCCAACCGGAAGACAGCTAAGTCATCTGGGCTCTCTGCTGCTCGAGAATTTTGTGAAGAAAAATAAGGTATCTGGAGAAAGAATATATGAAAGAGTACAAAGAACTTTCCTTGAAAGCTATGGCCCCCAGTGGCCATGGCTGCAGAGCCAATGTCCCAGCAGACCCAGGCGGGATCCCCTTGAAGCAGGTGCATCTCTGATGCAAGCCCACTCTCCAGGGGCAACTGTTTTCCCTTCCCTGCGACCCTCTTCAGACAGCTGACCATCTCAACACTGAGTGGTTAAATAGAAGAGCATGGACAGCCTGGGGCCTGCACTGGCTATGCTGGGAGTTTGTCATGTTGAGAGCTAAGCAGGCCCAGCCCCAAGGCCTCACTGCCATCTGCCTCCCTCTCACACCTCTCTTCTCCCTCCTTATGCTCACTCAGAGCCCCCATGCAGGTCCGGAGGGAAGAGAAGGAAGGAAAGAACAGTACTTGTTGGTGATTCATATAGCTCCCATCATTCTTCATAAAAATTCTGCCAGGCAGGCACCATTAATTCACCTTTCACAAGGTAGGAAGCAGAGGCTCAGACAGGCTATGACTTGCTGAGGCCACAGGCTGCTTAGACGTGGTCACTTGGCCTTTTGAGTGCAGGTCTGAGTGACTCCAGAGTTCCCACACAGATGTAAGAAACTGGCCCGGGTCTCGAGGAGTCCCTGCGGACAGGGGCTAAAGAGGGCAAAGGGCCTGGGGCCCAGAGATGCTGGGGAGGCAGCAGGCCTTGGGATTTGAGGGCTCCAAGTCACTTCTTTGGCACAGAGGCCACTGCTAGATTCTCATGGAGACAGGCAGGACTCATCCAAACTTGACCCCTTCCTTCCAGTCACAGCTGCCAATGAGCTGGCCTGCCGAGGCTTGGACCACCTGGAGGAAAAGATCCCAGCCCTCCAGTACCCTCCGGAAAAGGTAAGCCCCTTCCCACCTCTTGAAGCCTCCCTGCACTCTGTCGTCACCACCTCTCAGGGTGGAGAGGGCAGGGGCTGCTGATGCCGTGACTGGAAGTCTTGTCCCATGGTGAGCATTGTCCAAGACCGGCAGAGGCTGCCTGCTCCCAAGGCCACACCACACAACAGGCTCCTCTTCTCCCTGTGAAGCTAAATGGAGATGGGGTTTCTGGGACCAGCAGGCACGAGCCCAGAGGCAAACCCAAACAGGAGCTCTGGCAAGTCCTACTGCCTCCGGATACCACACGCTGGGATCTGAGGTTCCACCGTCTGCCCTGGACCACTTGGCGACTACAGCTGCTTAAGGTCATGAGTCACACTCATTCAGATCCCAGGAGTGTCGTCCCATATCCTCAAGATCCAACATTTTATGGACCATGAGATTGAAAGTCACTTTACCTGGCTACATATTTATTAGGTAGTTGCTATGATAAGGACTCATTTTTGGTGCTTCTGGGGAATAAGCTTCAGTCTCTGACCTCATCTATCTCATTGACCAACTACCCTTCCCACAAACATGTACTGAGCCCTACCCTATGCCCGGGGCCATCACCTATGCTTTATCAAGTACTCTCACTTAATCCTCTTGTCAGCCCTCTGGGATAGGGGTTGTTATCTCCATTTTACAGAAAGGAAACCAGTAAGTGGAAACAGTGAGAGCAGGTCCATTGAGCTGTGAGGCCTGTGTCCTTTGCTCCCCATTTTTCCAGATTAAAGGCAACATTTTTGTCACAAAGGTGCTCCCAGGATAATGAAGAAAAAGATAAATTATTTCAATGCAGAACTTGTAGGAAGATCAAGCACACCTATAAATCAATAGAAACGCTGTGTTCTGAGGAAAGGATGAAGGAGATTCCTTGTGAGCATGAGGGTATCAGGACAGGTGGCACCAAGGAGGAGTCTTTGGGGTCATCCTCACAGGATGAGAGGGCTCTTGACAAGCAGTGATGGGGGTGAAGAAGCCAGGAGATCCAAACAGTTGGCACAAGGAAGGTTGGAGCCCTCTCCCTTTAAAGCCTAGCTTAATTCCAGGTACCCAAATATCAGTGCCAGTTTCCTGGGCCTTTAGATGACGCCTTCCTGGGACCTGGGCTCAGGCCACCAGACCCCGAAAGGGTGGCCCTTCCAGGGCCTGCAAGACCACATGCCTAACACCCCCACCAACTTCCCCCAGATTGCTTCTGAGCTGAAGGACACCATCTCCACCCGCCTCCGCAGTGCCAGAAACAGCATCAGCATTCCCATCGCGAGCACTTCAGACAAGGTCCTGGGGGCCGCTTTGGCTGGGTGCGAGCTCGCCTGGGGAGTGGCCAGAGACACTGCGGAATTTGCTGCCAACACTCGAGCTGGCCGACTGGCTTCTGGAGGGGCCGACTTGGCCTTGGGCAGCATTGAGAAGGTGGTGGAGTACCTCCTCCCTCCAGACAAGGAAGAGTCAGGTACCTGCCATTCGGAGGCTCGGCCTGGGAGTGAGTTGTCACACACACTGCCTGGGAATCAGCAGGAGGTGGCAGGGCTCATCCAGCTACTGCTCTGGAATAGGGAAGGCCAGTGGGATTTTCAGATGGATTCATAATCATTTACCCCCCCCCCGCCCCCACCCCATCTGTAAAGAGGGAAAGTGAGTTGTGGAACTCACCAGTGAGTTTGTGGTGGAGCTAGAACACCTGCTTTCCAGTCCTAGACATGACCCAGATCTCCCCGGCCCCTCTCTTACCTGTTTTCTCTTCTTTCGCCCCAAATCGCTACCCAGCCCCTGCTCCTGGACACCAGCAAGCCCAGAAGTCTCCTAAGGCCAAGCCGAGCCTCATGAGCAGGGTTGGGGCTCTGACCAACACCCTCTCTCGACACACCATGCAGACCATGGCCCGGGCCCTGGAGCAGGGCCACACCCTGGCTATGTGGATCCCAGGAGTGGCGCCCCTGGTGAGTATCTGCCCTGAGCTCTGACTGGTCCCATGCCTGGGAGCCTTGTGGGCCTCTTAGTCCCTCCCATCCCCCACCCATCGCCCCTTCCTGTCCTGAGAACATTCTCTCTTCCAACCTGGGCTAGGACTTTAGTTCTAAGGACAAGAGGCCTTGAGAGGGGTAGAGGGATGGCCTTCCAGACCACAGGGAAAGAGAAGGGACAGGATGTTAAGCAAGGGCAGGCCTGCCTTGCTAGAGTGCTCCTGCCCCACCACTCACTTCTATCTCCCCCATTTCCCTCTGAGTCTTCCCCAAGCCCCAGTCTTCATCCCCCCAAGTCGGCCTCTTTCTATGGGTCTTCCCACCTATAAGACAGCAGGACTTCCATCTGCTATGCAAGCACTAGGGACTGTCGTCCTTAAATAAACAAAGTACACAACCCATTTTGTCAGGGAGAGTGTACCCAGCACCAATGCACCCAAGGTAAATTTGCCCTTTCTAGGCCCAGGGAGAGTTAACTCCCCACCACTCCCCACCTCCACCTCTCTGTATTTTAGCAGAAATAGGCTGGATTTTTTTCATAAGGAATTTTAGTAAGAAACTAGCGCCAGAAAAGAAAATAAAACAACATTAAAGCATAAAGGTCAGCAAACAAGATTACTACTTTTCAGCCATCTTTTGAGCAGTACTTTTAAAAGCATCATCAGGCCTGGATCATTCATTCAAGCAAGTGTTGCCCCTGCAGGGATACAGGAGTAGTAGTTCCCCTCAGTCCCCTGCATCAATAACGACTGAGACTGAGTCACATGCCTGGGCCCGGCCTGCAGTGGGCAGAACCTCACATGCCACCATTCACATGGAATAGAGTGGCATCCCCAAAAGCTGTGTAATAAGGAGGCTCTGTTTGTGGGGCTCCCTAGAGGTTTAGAATGTGCCTCAGGAGACACCAGCCCACTTGCTCAATCAATTTCTTCCCATGGGACACTCTGGTTCATTGAATGTTTCACTCTTTAGAGATCTGGGAGGAGTATCTACCAAAGCTAACAAACATATATCCTATGGCCCAGAAATTCCACTCTTAAGTGTATACCCAACAGAAATGAGCACTTAAGTCTCCCAAGACAAGTAAAAAATGTTCAGATCAGCGATATCCTTAGCTAAGAACTGGAAGCAATGATAATGCCCATCAACTGTAGGATGGGTAAGTTACGGGAAATGCGTATGATGGAATATTACACAGAAATGAAACAGAAGGAACTACTTCCATTTGCAGCAACATGGGTGAAACTTACACCATAATATTTAACTAAAGGAGCTATTAATGAATGAATACACATGATGTGACTCCACTTATATGAAGTCCAAAAATAGGCAAAACGAAGGCATGGTGACAGAGACCAGGATTGTGGTTACTCTTGAGGGACTATGGACTGAGTGGGGGACACAGGGAGTCTTTGGGTGTGAAAATGGTCTATGTCTTGACCTGTGGTGGTTACACAGGTGTGTTCTTATAAAAATTCATAAAGCTTACACTAAAGATGTGTGCACTTTAGTGTATGTAGATTACCATTCAATAAAAAGTTTCAAGAAAAGTCTGCTGGGGCCGAGCCCTGCTCACCACCTGGCCTGGACCCTGGGGGCGAGGGGCTTTGGCTGCTGGGGCTCCCTGGTCATCAGCAGGGGCAGTTGAGCCAGCAATCTGCTGCCATCCTCCCTCAGAGCAGCCTGGCCCAGTGGGGTGCCTCAGTGGCCATGCAGGCGGTGTCCCGGCGGAGGAGTGAAGTGCGGGTGCCCTGGTTACACAGCCTCGCAGCCGCCCAGGAGGAGGATCATGAGGACCAGACAGACACGGAGGGAGAGGACGTGGAGGAGGAGGAAGAATTGGAGACAGAGGAGAACAAGTTCAGTGAGGTGAGGGGGAGAGTGGGAGCCTCAAGGTCGTCCAGTTCACAGAAGTGGTGAGAAGCAGAGGCATAGGGTGAACTCAGGAACTCTGGCCCAGATGCAGGGGCATGGCATGTGTGTGCAACACCCTTCACCCCACCCCCAAATGCCCAGCTGATGAGGGACTTCCATGTCATTCTCTCAGCTGATCCTTGCAACACTCTGTAAATAGGCAGGGCAGAGATTATTGTCCCATTTTGCAGAAGAAACAGAGGTTCAGAGAGGGAATGTGACTTGTCCAAGGCCACACTGCTAGTGGCAGAATAAGCCTGAAGTTTTGTAAATTTGGTATTCTCATGCTTTTCCCTTGAGCTCTGGGGCTGGTGAGGAGGGAAGGGTCAGGGGAGTTACTGCAGGAGGCACTGACCCTGCTCTGGCCCCCAGGTAGCAGCCCTGCCAGGCCCTCAAGGGCTCCTGGGCGGTGTGGCACATAACCTGCAGAAGGCCCTCCAGACCACCATCTCGGCTGTGACATGGGCACCTGCAGCTGTGCTGGGCATGGCAGGGAGGGTGCTGCACCTCACACCAGCTCCTGCTGTCTCCTCGACCAAGGGGAGGGCCATGTCTCTATCAGATGCCCTGAAGGGTGTTACTGACAATGTGGTGGACACGGTGGTGCATTATGTGCCGGTGAGTACCACCCCTGGCAAACTGTTAGTGTCCCAAGGGGGCCCGGACAGGGCAGATAAAGTAGATTTGACTGAAGGGGATGCAGTCCCCCTCCTTTTCCCTACTCCTCTGGAGACCTCCCTGCAGTCCTCAGTGCCCTGGCAACATTTTGACATACTGGACCCCTCCCAGCCCCAAGAGTATAGAGGCCCATGGCTCTGGCCTGAGGCCTCTCCCCACAGCCCCTCCCACCTGCTGGTAGAGGAGTCTCCAGCCATTAGTTCCGGGATCCCAGTGACTCACCTTCACCCCTTTGCTCCCAACTGAAGGGCCGGGCAGGTGCTAGGCAGGTTTGCATGCTGCTGCACAGGAAGGGGTTGAAGAGACTTCCAGGGCACCCTGAGGGGTGGGCCATGAGTTCCAGGGGACAGCAGCAGGCTCCACCCAATTCTATCACCTGTCGCCAATAGGAAAAACCCAGGGGATACCAATGCCATCCCTTTGGGAACCCCTTTCCAAATCAAGTTATAGGTTATGCAGGCCTGAGGGGGGCTGGTCAGGGCAGAAAGCACCCTTAGAGCTGGTAAGGGGGTGGGTTACTCAGTCACTCTAGCAAGCAGCATGCCAGGGATCTTAGCAGCCCTCCTGTTCACCCTGCGCTCGGGCCAGCCCCAAGAAAGTGTACCCATCCCTGGCCAGGTCACTGTGTGGGCTGCAAGGAAGAGTTAGGAAAGCTGATGGTTCCCCTCAGGGAGGCCTAGGGGATCCTGAAACTTTGGGAGGCTTGGCTTGCCTGAGCGGCCACCTGGTCCATGGAGAAGCTCAGAGTGGGTAGGACCTCAGGGCTTTCCCCGGTGCCCCCCAAACTACTGAACCGCTCCCCAGCCTGTGGCCTCCTGACGGCCGCTCCCGGGGAAACAATCGGGGGACCCGGGAAGGGGCGGTGGGTGAGAGGCGCAGGGACCAGGGCCAAGTCAGGACTCTAAGGCGACTGCCGGGCCCTCAGCTCCCCAGGCTGTCGCTGATGGAGCCCGAGAGCGAATTCCGGGACATCGACAACCCGCCCGCCGAGGTCGAGCGCCGGGAGGCGGAGCGCAGGGCGTCAGCGGCGCCCTCCGCCGGCCCGGAGCCCGCCCCGCGCGCCGCACAGCCCCGCCGCAGCCTGCGGAGCGCGCAGAGCCCCGGCGCGCCCCCCGGCCCGGGCCTGGAGGACAAGGTCGCCACGCCCGCAGCGCCGCGCCCGGCCTTCCCGGCCGTGCCCCGCGAGAAGCCGAAGCGCAGGGTCAGCGACAGCTTCTTCCGGCCCAGCGTCATGGAGCCCATCCTGGGCCGCGCGCAGTACAGCCAGCTGCGCAAGAAGAGCTGAGTCGCCGCATCCGTCGCCGCACCCCGGGCGGGCGGGTTTCTCTAACAAACAGAACCCGCACAGCCCAGGCGAGCGTTGCCGCTTTCAAAATGGTCCCCTGGGGACCCCAGCCTCATTCCGATGATGCTGCCGAGGCACACGTTTTTTTTTTTTTTTTTTTTTTTTTTTAAGCATCCTTTTGGGGCTTTACCCTCAGAGCCAGTTTTTAAGGGACACCAGAGCCGCAGCCTGCTCTGATTCTATGGCTCGGTTTTTACTAAAAGAGTAATTGCCTAACTTGATTTTTCATCTCTTTAACCAAACTTGTGGCCAAAAGACATTTGACTGTTTCCAAAATTCAGATTCTGCCTCTGTGGGTAAATATTTGTCACGAATGAGTAACTCCTGTCACCATTCTGAAGGTCCAAACAGAAGATTTTGACACATTCTTAGCACTGAACTGGGAGATCCTCTGATGTCTAGGCTCCCAGCAGACTACTTTGAAGGGAACAATCAGATGCAAAAGCTCTTGCATGTTTATTTAAAATACTAGTGTCACTTTCTGAGTACTCGCCCCTTCACAGGCTGAGTCCCAGGCCTGTGCTTCATAGAGCCAGCTTCTTGCTCACAGCCACATTTCCATTTGGATCATTACTGCCTGCACCTGCATAGTCACTCTTTTGATGCCCTCCAGATGCTGGGGAACAAAAATGGTGATCATATATAGACTTTATAGCCACAGTTCATCACCAATCCCATTTTCCAAGGGAAATGTTAATATTTGATAAATCTAGAAAATGCATTCATGGCTGGGCTCGGTGGCTCACACCTGTAATCGCAGCACTTTGGGACGCCGAGGCGGGCAGATCACGAGGTCAGGAGATCGAGACCATCCTGGCTAACACAGTGAAACCCCGTCTCTATTAAAAGATACAAAAAATTAGCCCGGCATGGTGGTGGGTGCCTGTAGTCCCAGCTACGCAGGAGGCTGAGGCAGGAGAATGTCGTGAACCTGGGAGGCAGAGCTTGCAGTGAGCCGAGATCACACCACTGCACTCCAGCCTGGGCGACAGAGCAAGGCTCCGTCTCAAAAAAAAAAAAAAGAAAAAGAAAAAGAAAGGAAAAGAAAATGCATTGATACAACTATAAAATTCAAACATTGCAAAAGGGTATGTGTCTTTCTCCCCGAGCCCCCCGTTCCCCTTCATTAAAAACCACCATGGTGCCGTCTCTCGTGTATACAGGGCTATGCACCTGCAGGCACGTGTGTATGCACTCCCCGCTTGTGTTTACACAAGCTGTGGGGTGTTATACATGCCTACTTTTTTCACTTAATAACACAGCTTGGAGAGATTTTTGTGTCACATCATAAATCCCACTCGCTCTTTTCGACGGCCACATAGTAACTACTGCATAATATGGATACGCCTTATTTGATTTAACTAGTTCCCTAATGATGGACTTTTGTTTCCTTTTTTTTTCTTTTTTGCTACTGCAAACAGTGCTATAATAAATACCCTTATCAAAAATGTCTAGTGTACATGTGTGGAGATATATATACACACATATGTGATAGATACGTAACTTGTAACCATGACATGCTGGGTGAAAGAATATGTGCATTTTAAGTATTCCTAGATAATACCAAGTAGCCTGCCAAACCAAACCCTATTTTTCTAGTTATTTTCACCTGCAGCTTCAGAAATATGCACAGAAAATTATGAGTCTTCAGTCAGTCCTTTTAGACATCCATATATTTATACTCATTTTCCACAGGTCCCCCTCAGACACATAAACACTCACTCTGTTAGCTCCCACTCTACTGCACACCTGGAAGCCCTGCTCCCTGAAACTGACTCTGGGGCCCTAGAACTGACTCTGGGGCCCTGGCAGATCTTTGGTGTAATGAGTCATGGGCCTCGATCTGTGGTTTTGGAGTCTGAGGATGTAGAATGGGGACAGGAGAGAAGCTGGTAGATATACACATGAAGATGTGGCCAGGCCCCTGAGCCAGCCATGGACCCTCCCCACCCCACTTCCATGATATAAACTACACCCAGCAGTTCCCTGGGGGGTGGGGAGGGAAGATGAGGGGTGGAGTTGGCAAGAGGGTTTCTTAGAAGCTGATATAACAGGGCTGAGCAGACAGAGCCCAGCACAGCCTTGGCAGGGCTCCCAGGGACAGATGCTGGAGAATTGACCTCAGGCCTAGATGTACAGAAAGAAATGCCTGCCTGTCCTGGGCCTCACCCACCCATGCTGCTTTCTTCCTAGTGTTCCAGAAACCACATTCCTAGCTATCTACTCCTCCCCAGTCCTGTGGCTCCTCCTGCTAGGCTATACTCCAGAAGGCAGGAAAGCTGCCTCCTCAGCAGCATGAGGGCTGCGGCCGCCAACATGCCTGCTGGTCAGGCCCAGTTCCCTCACCCAGCCCTGGGCCTGCGCACAGGTGCTGGAGGCTACATATGGAATAGGACAGCCCAGGAAGCAAACAGTGTAAGTTGTAAGTTTCTTTTTACTGTTAGAAACCTCTTGATTAGGCAGCAAGGTACACTGAACCTGCTTCTCAGTATTTTGAACATATTTTGGCCAGTAACAAGGGCAAAGTAGCTCCTCTAAATGGCACACATTTGCTTCCTTGACTCTAGGCTCAATGGGGGACTTCCCCCTGTTCTGCGGGGCATCCCTTTGGCAAGGCCCACCCACACTCAGTATCTCCAGTGTGGCTCAGGACCTAGCAAAGACCTCCACTTCACATTGGGTTGCCCAGGGTCCTTCAGAGAAATACCCAATGCCTTCCATTCCAGCTTACAAAACCCACTTCTAACACAGCCACAGCTTTTGGAGATGCACACAATTACAGAAATTAACATACATTTATCCAGGCAATTATTTACCTCTTTTTCTTCCCATACTTTTATTTTGAGACTGTATCGCTCTGTCACCCAGGCTGGAGTGCAGTGGCAGGATTTCAGCTCACTGCAACCTCCACGCCCCCAGGCTCAAGTGATTGTCTTGCCTCAGCCTCCTGAATAGCTAAGATTACAGGCATGTGCCACCATGCCCAGTTAATTCTCATATTTTTAGTAGAGACGGGGTTTCACCATGTTGTCCAGGCTGGTCTCAAACTCCTGACCTCAAGTGATCTGCCCACCTCAGCCTCCCAAAGTGCTGGGATTACAGGTGCGAACCACCATGCCCAGCCTTCCTCCCAATAATGATCTGGGATCTTAATAGCCAAGGGATTTCTGGGCATGGAGAGAGAGATACCGCTATGACTTGTGCTTCGAAGCTCATTGGCTTAAGCATAACTTTCCTAACCATTTAAATACTTCACACTTAATCAAAATTTATAAAATGCATACATCAAATTATTTTAAATATTTAAATGTTGATTAGGTGGCTCATGCCTGTAATTCCCAGCACTTTGGGAGGCCGAGGCTGGCAGATCATGAGGTCAGGAGTTCGAGACCAGCCTGGCCAACAAGGTGAAACCCTGTCTCTATTAAAAATACAAAAATTAGCCGGGTGTGGTGGTACGCACCTGTAATAATTGTAATAATTGCCAGCTACTCAGAAGGCTGAGGCAGGAGAATCGCTTGCAACTGGAAGGCGGAGGTTGCAGTGAGCCGAGACCACGCCATTGCACTGCAGCCTGGGCAACAAGAGCAAAACTCCATCTCGAAAAAGAAAAAAAATGTTGATTACAAGCTAAAAAGTCAAATTCTTCTAAGCTTTTCTGTAAACGGAGTCAATGGAAACTTCTGCATACCTTGTTAGTATGTCATTAGAGCTAGTGGGGTCATCCAGAGGTTCCTCTGTGCGCAGAGAGGGGACCAAGCCTGTGTGGTCAGCTCCCCATCCAGGATGTACTATTGGACCCTTCTACTCACTGCTCTACATCCAGAACACAAGCACTATCTTTAAAACATCCTGCATGACATCCACAATCCCTCCCCATCCCCAGCCGCAACCTGCTATAACCACAGTCCTGAATTTTGTTGTTTCTCATTCCCTTGCTTTTCTTTATAGATTTACTTCCTATATATACACCCCAATACAATATGATTGAGTTTTGCATGCCTTGAGCTTTATTTAAGTGTGATTATGTGTATTCTTGAGATTTGCTTCTTTTCACTCAAAATTATGTTTCTGAGCTTCATTCATTTTCACTAGAGATTTTAATTCTAAAACTCTATATTTAATGAGTATATATAAATATGCCCTAATTTATTCAGTCATTTGTATTAGAATGGATTCTGTTTTAAAAGACAGAAGGCTCCCAATAACAATGTGTACTAGTCAGCCTTTGCCATGATACTGTTGCATAACAAACTGTCCTAAAACTGTGGCTTACAACAACATGCATTTATTTTTATGTTCATAGGTCAACTATGGTTTGGCTCATCACAGTGGCACTCCCAATGGCTCTGCAGATCAGCTGAACTTGGCTCCAGGCTGTGCATGGGTTCAGTTCTGCACCAGGGGTGCTATTTCAGGACTCTAGGATAAGGGGTCAGTGGCAGTGGCTATCTGGGGCATACTCTTCTCACAGGATAAGGGGTCAGTGGCAGTGGCTATCTGGGGCATACTCTTCTCACAACAGATCACTGGAGCACAGAACCAAGTCTCATCTCAAGTCCTCTCCTTGTATCATATCTACTTACATTCCATTGGCCAAAGCAAGTCATACAGCCAAGTCCGCATCAATGGGACAGGGAAGTAGACTTCTCCCCTAGTGGAAGGGGAAGGGAGCAAATATTTGCTGAACAATAGTACAGTCTAGCACACAGTGATTTAAACAAGCAAGGAGTTTATTTCTGTCTCCTGTGAAAGCCCAGAGATGAGTAGTCCAGACTGGAATGACACTCAGCAGTGCCAGGGATTGAGGTTCCTTCTATCTTAAGGACAGAACCTTACTATTCTGTCATGAATGATTTCTTTCCCTAAAGTCACCTCATGAATCAAGATAGCTGCTCCAGCTCCAGCCATCAACTCCATATTCCAGCCACAGAAAAGAGCAAGGAGAAAGGAGAATGGCATGCCTCCACACCAGAAATTACACACTACTGCTTATAACCCAATGGACAGAACTTAGTCACATGACCACTCCTGGTTTAAAAGGGGGATGGGAAATACAGTTTTCATTTGGAGTGGCTATGCATCTAATTAAAAATCAGAAGTCCTAAATGGAGGGGAAGTAGATCCCAGGGATGGGGGTAACTTGTAATCTCTGCCACATCACTCTCGTGTCAATAGACATTTGGCTTGTTTCTGTAATTTTTTTTTTTTTTTTTTTTTGAGACTGTTTCATTTTTGTCCCACAGGCTGTAGTGCAGTGGTACGATCCTGGCTGACTTC